CAGAACCGGTGCCATCACGGCACCGGATACCGGTACCCATCCCTACTCGTAATGCTGCGCTCACTAAATCTGTGCTGTAGGTTTACGTATGTACTCACCGCATGCTCTCTCCAATAGGAAAGCCAGAATAAAGTGGTATCGCCCCCAAAGCCCCCACGCGCCCATGAGTGGAAGCTGCTGGTGAAAAACATCCGAGTCACACTCAACCAGGAGGAAGATGCTGCAGGTCGGTCGTGCGTCTGCTTATAAATTAATGTTAATTCTGAATTTTTCAAGCTGATGATGTTTCCTATGCTAACGGCTACATTTAGCTCCAAGTACAGCGTAAAGAGGTTCTGTTATAAAAGCATTAGCATCATCAGCAGGAGTGTCAGTAAAGTAGTAATAAGAAAAATATTAACTGCGCTGGTTATCTGTGTACCAGCTATGTAAACTCATTCATAGCGCTCTATTAACAGATCATATTTACCTTGGGTCCTGCACACTAAGCTGCGGAGAAACATGAGCTTCAATATACGTTACAAACAAAGAATCCTCCACCCGCCGTATTGACTTTGTATTTTTATTAAAAGGACGTTTTTTAAAGACATCTATTGTAAAGTTGAATTAGCTCCTTTCATCAGACTGCACGCTCTGTTTGCATTACCACGACGATGCAATGAGAAGGTTGTTTAGAGGGTAGCTGACTTTGGTAATGAATCAGCAGCAGTGGGACTGTGCTTCCAGCATGGCTGCTGCATGACAAGGCCCCCCCCACTCCCACCCCTCCATTTTAGGTAATCCACTGGTCAAAGCTAAACAATGATGGCAGTATATTAATAATACACCCACAACAGTACGACAACACCCAGCGTGGTGGTACAGACCTGCACATAAACACAGTGCAGGGTGTGGTCATGTATGAGGCATTTGATAGATTGTGCTGATGATAGGCTGTTAACACGATTGTCCAGTAATGAAGTCTTAGACCACCCACAACAACTTTGTTTGGGTAGTTCCTGTGATGAGTCATTCTCTGAGTGTGAGTCAGCAGTTGTCGGGGCTGCAGACGTGCCCTAAAGCGTTCGGTCTGACTCTTAATATTGCACAGCAGAGACATGACACAGCAGAGACACTTCACTATATACATCTTCCTTCCTTTTATTGAAGATCAGTCACTGTCTGCTGGGTTTTTATGATTGTGCAGGCTTTTATGTCGTTTTATTCATTTGTATTGTTTTAATTGTTGTTTAATAATTTGTATTGTAAAGCACTGAATCTTATCTGTGAGGCTTCTGATTCATATAAGTGCTTTAGAAGATGTGTGCTCATTTAGCCTCCTCTAATCTCTGCATAATTCATCATATATACTCTGTAAAGTGATCCCGTGTTTATCCATTAGAGTGAGGGAGTGGAAGTGGCTGACCACAAAAGAAAGAAATCTTTAAATCAGCTCTTGGATGACACTTTGTGTTCGCAGGCAGCATTAATCCTCTGTGTGTGCTGCAGTTAGATGATCCTCCTCAGAGGTTCAACACTTCTGTTTCGAAGAACACGACGAGTCCTGCCTGGGACCAGCCGTTTATTTTGTAAGTGTGAACGCTGACTCCGTCGCAGGTGGTTCTGATGAAC